GGGGGGGGGGGGGGGGGGGGTGCTGCTGCTTGCTTTGGCCGGGGCCTGGTGGCAACGCCCGGAAAGGCCAAGGGAAAAGTTTAACAAAATTTGTTTTCTAGGCCTGCATGGAAAGATCTGAGACCATAATATTGGTAATTTTACAAATTTAGTAGTAAGAATAATCAAACATGAAACTATCAAATCAAAAAATATATCATTTCCAGGGGTGCAAAAACTTTTGGGGGCGGTGCCAAATGCCTCTGGGGGGGGGGAGGGGGGTGTGCAAAACATTTCGGGGGGGGGGTTACTGTTGAGCATCCAGTACACAAAAGCCAGATTTTTAACGATCATTTTAGTTAAACACAACTATATGATAACAATACTGAATTACCACATCTAGTCAGCTTTCTGTGTCATACTCAGAAGTATTATCCCTTTTGCAAAATGTAAATGTCTCGAAAACCTGTGCCCCAGCTGTGTTCATGATGGTGTTGGGAACGAAGTTATTAAGATGTGTGCCCAAGGTTTGTTTGAGAGTTTTACTAATTTAATTAATTTAACGTTTTTATTAAGCCAATTTTATGGAAACTGCAAATGTAATTCCCTTATTTAAAAAAGATGATCGTCAATTTAAAGTTAACAAGACGCTCTACGGAGCGTTAACTCGCTGGGGCTCTACTAGACTTGGTTGAAGTCCGTCTCAGGAGAAAAGTAGGGAGTGGACTTGGGACATTTGCGCGAAGATTTGTTGTTCTTCTCAACTCGCAAGCCACGCCTCCGTAGGAAAAATCCGCGCGCTTGCAGGGTATCCAAGTCCGTCTCTCCCTATTTACTTTTCTCTCATATTTTCGCACCTTTTTTGACCGCTCGCGTGCATCGCTATTTTCAACCCCTTGAGAAACGGACTTGAACCAGACTCTAGGGCTATACAAATACACATATTACTGTACATGTTATTTCAGTTAGTACACAGCTATTTCAATTAAGATTTTCCCCGAGCTTTAGCCCACCCCACACGAGAGCAACTTGCTGAGCTAACCGCCTCGCGAGGCAGCTAGCTCAGCTATGTAATTTCACCGCACACGTTAGGAAAACTACTCAACAACAACATAAGTGACAAAATCATTTGCATTTTCCTCCATTTTGTTCCAAGTCACACGAAGAAACCATGGTTTGTCATTGGCTAATTGATTCAAACAGCTCAGCACTTAGCTCACAACATCCGCAGACGCGGAGATTTTTTCCTCGCGAGGCGAAAAATATCAAACAGGATAGATATTTTCCTCAAGGCCTCGAGAGGTCAAATCCTCACGAAAACTATCCGCACACGAAAGCAACTTGCTGAGCTAACCGCCTCGCGAGGCAGTTTGCTCAGCAAGTTGCTCTCGTGTGCGGCGGGCTTTAAGCGGAAAAGTCGAACACCGGCGCGAAAGGCTTAACACAATACTAAAATGCGGTAGGCCCTACAAGTAAAGTTATATTTTATAGTACGCTACATTCTATTAATCTATTTTCAGAAAAACAGTAAACCCCCTGACCAGGGTACCGTCAGTTGGCCGTACGCTAGGATTTAATAAACTGCGCTTCAAAATAAAATATTTGGGGTCTTTTGGGCTCAAAATACTATCAAAATGAAGAGAGAAGTGAGACGAATCCACTGGCATACGGCCGAAAAAGAGAAAACCAATGATACCAAAGTTATCAAGGATCAAACGTACAGCATTTTTTTATAATTAGGTTAATAATTTTGAGCGATTTGTCAACAATACAATTTCGCTTGGCTTTCAAAGACAAAGGCAATAAATCGCTAGAATACTGTTGTTTAGTAATACTGTACATTTGACATCTGTAATTAGTACAATTTCTAACGCCGAATCGAACGGTGGTATTTTTATCCTTATTGCACCATTTAGGCATTATGACCAGTCAGTGGAATGCCCCGCACCCCCCTACCCGGAGAATGCCGGGGAATTATTGAGTGATTGAACCTTATATTCGGCCACGGTACACAGGGATTTAGACTGTATTAGTTATGTGTATCAGGTACCGGGCACTTTGGCGGGGCTAATATTGGGGATTAGACATAGCCGCCATTTTGAAAATGAGAAAGGACTTGGAATGAGCAATGAAAGCGAACTGATAATTTTGCGAACGAACTGACAATCTCTTGTGTTATTAGGTTACCGTTTTATTTTCTTGAAAGTTATTGTAAACCATTTAGATGTAACTTCCATTTTTTTAAGCATTCAGTATAGACCATAGATATGACTTAAATTTTAAGTAAAAAGGGAAAGGCCCAGTTTTTAGGGGCCCCGAACAATGAGCAAAACCCAAGTCGAACTGAAAAGAATCCAGTTTAATAGATGTGCGAAATTAAGTACGAATAAGGTAGTATTTATCAAATAGGTCTATTTCCTTTAGATTGATATTCTTTTTAGATATTGTATGTTCGGCCCAGAGAGCGGGGACATTATTTGCGTTTAGGCAAGTGAGAGTGGCCCGTATAGCGGGGAATTAGACTGAATTAGAGCAAGGTCTTGGTCTAATGCCCCGCTGTTCCCCGGGTAGGGGGTGCAGGGTATACCACTGACTGGTGCATTACAAATACACTATGAAATGTACGAGTGAGTGATTTGTCAACAAATCTGAATGAGCAAGTGATTTGTCAACAAATACAATACAAACTGCGAGCGATTTGTTCTCTGTCAACAATACAATTTCACCTGATTTTCAAAGGTCATTAATCGCTAGAATACTGGTGTTTAGTAATACACTTGACATCTGTAATAACAATTTCTTACGCTGAATCAAACAGTGTCACTTTCTTCTCAAAATATAAAGCAGTGCAGTCAAACCACAGAGTAGAGACATACAGAGACGTAACTGACCGTTGTAAACACTGCGGAAGATTATGTTATCATGTACCCACTTTTTTTCAGGAGACCGGGCGAAAAATGATCAACTGCGTGTGCTCAGCAAGTTTAAAGTGAGTTGTCATCAGGTCGTCATCCAATCAGATGCATGCATCTAAAGTGGGTACACTAGTTACGTCTTTGTATGTCTCTACTCTGTGGTCAAACGTAACTTGCAATTTGCGAAGGTTGCTGTTTCCATGTCGAAATTCCTTGTAAAATTTTTCAATTTTCCCGAATTTTCCTCAAAACGCAAGGTTATTTATGGATAATTTGGGTAAAAATTGGCAGGAGCCGCAGCAGGAGCTTTATGGATAATTTGGGTAAAAATTAGGTAGCTCATTAATATTCTATTTTGTGGCTATCGATCTTCGATCGACTATCTGAGAAAAATGCGAGCCGAAACCTATACTCGTCCAGGGCACAAGTGCCCCAGCGAGTAATTATCGGCCAATCTTTCTACTACCCCAACTTCAAAAATTGCAGAAAGAGTAGTGTTTACACGTTGATACAGTTTTTTGGCTGATATTGGCTTTTTTATTATTTACAATCTGGTTTACGATCAGGTCATTCCACTACTAATCAATTGACAGATTTGGTTCATAAAATCTACCAGGCTTTGGATGATGGTGAAGAAGTGAGGGTGGTTTTTTTGGACGTAAGTATAAGGCTTTCGATCATGTTTGGCATACTGGTTTGCTTTTTAAATTACAAAAGTTAGGTGTTCAAGACCCCTTATTAAGATCGATAAAAAATATTTATGTGACCAAAAACAAAAAGTGGTCATTCAAGGACAAAGTCATTGAGTGCATTCAGAGAATGCATAGTACCTCCATCCATTTCATTTGTCTTGAAAAACCAAAACCTGTTATTTGGGTACTGCTCAGGGGATAATAGGGCTTTTCGCTATCAAATAACTCCTTTTTAGGCTCGGGCAATATATAATGAAAACAAATCCCGAAACTGATGTAAAAACCCAGTAGAACAAGTATATTGAATGGAAATCTGCCTTTACACATAATTGAAATGCTATGGAGCTTGACAGCAGGCTGTATTTGTGGGCTGATTCATACCATTCAACATTTTGCACTGAATGGAAATCCGCCTTATTGGTACTGTATAGAAACTGTATAGCTCTTGCATATTATGTGAATGAATGGCAAGTCATGACTCTTTGGTTGGTTTTGCTTATACTTTTCAGTGATTGTATATCCTTCACACAACAGATCCTGGATAACCCCTGCTGTTTTACTTATTATATCCACCCTTTTTCTGAGGTGGAATTATTTTGACTCATATTCACAAGTTGTCTTAGAATTTTTGAGCCAAACTGAACCTGAAATCTTATAAAGTAGGCCCCTGAACTACAATTGTACGCCGGATTTACGTGTCGACGCCGCCCTTGTTTGTATGGAATTTTCTTTATATATTCTACAATAGCCCGTTGGCCATATTTGCACGTGCTTCAATATTTTTTACTCGTTTGTATAAATGCACACTATGACCACTATCGTAATATTTATAATACAAGAAAGCCGAACTAAGTCATGAGCTCACTAGCCATCACAAAGTCTATCAAGTATACTGAATAATATTGTATTGTCGAGAAGACTCGAAACATATGATTATCGAGCATGTTACAGCTGCCTACCCACGTGTCACCAAAATGTTCGAACAGAAACGTTGTTCAAAAACTAAAAGTAAATAAAATAAACAAAGGGCGTTAAAGTACCTTTTTCTTCAGCAGTAGTCATCTTTTCAGTGCAGGAAAGACCAAGAATACCCAACTTCTATCGCTTTTATTTAATATTATAATATCTCCTCTGAAAATCGACAAGACAAGCAACCAGTATTTATGCAGTTCTTGAGTGTTTGATAAAAAAAAAACCGCCAATGATTTGCATCCGGCCGCGCATCTAATTTTCACCATTCGCCAATCAGAAGCGCGAAAAAGCTGTGTGAGGTCACCGCTAGCCAATGAAAATGCTCCAATTCTTTGCTCGTCAGAAACCATTTCCGCTTTGGAAGCATGTTTACTGTTTTCAGTTTTGTGTCATGTGGGTTTGGGCAATTTGGCAACAACAAATAATATAAGCTGATTTCGAACGGAATTTTTTATACAAGTTCCTGATAAATTAACCTAAGCAAGCGGTTTATTCGTTGATGATATTACTTCAATACTTTTGTTGCAAGTTTTGTTAGCGATTTCATCGCGAAATACAAGACAAAATTTGCCAGAATTATCAGACAGTTCCAAGCATGGCGAAGTTACCACGTGAAAGTTGTTATGAATTACAAGATTCCTGTGGTGTCTTTGGTTGTATTGCAGCAGAAGGCGTTGATTTAAAAGAATTTGGGCTGGCTAACAACATATTTCTTGGCCTACTAGGAATTCAGCATCGGTATAAAGTGCATGGTTCATATTAAATATTATTTAATTGTTTTTGTTTATATTTTATCGCCATGCAAACATTCAAAGAACTTAAATATTATTTATTGTAGTTGGTAAAAGCAATTTGATTGGCTAAGAGCTTACAGTCGAATCACGCAACTTACAGAAAATTCAGTTATCTGCTAGTTGATAACTGAGTTATCAATCAGTATCTATTTAACACAAACAAGTGTATAATAAAACAATTATTGAATTCGGTTTTTGCGATATGCAAAATTTTCGGCTTGGCTGATAACGCTTGCCTCGACCTTGATAATTCTGCATGTCACAAAAACCTCATCCAATAATTGTTAATTATTAACCCTTTTTAAGTGGCAATGTGCCCTACTTTATTATTTCTATACTCTATTACTCTGTCAGATGCCAGACGATTTCACCTGTTGCAATTTATGCCACTAGCTGCCGATATTTGAGGGATATTGTAGATGGAAATTGTTGAGTGGCAATTTATATACATTTATTAGACCTAACTAGGAACAGAAGCAAAAAAATGCAACTTTAGGTCTCTGGCAGGTGCAGTGCTCCGGAATCGCATGGCTGCAGGTTCAATTCGCTGGGTCGTAGGTGGAAGTGGTTTCTAGTTGAGCTAAGGAGAAACCACTGAGAGCAAATGAATGATTTTCTATCAAGCTTGTGTGAAGATCGACCAATGCGATGTCACTAATTTAACTTGTTGTCTGTCAGTTTTAATCAAACGACTTTTTATTGTACATGCAGTTAACAATTTATGTATTGGTTTTAATATCTTTGTTTTATAATGCACTACTAAAATATTTTGAAATTGGTGTCTCACTCTACATGCATTTTACAGCCCTCAAAAATCTGTTTCCATGTCTTGGAGCACTAGCAATCACATATTTGCGAATCATTGAAATCAGAATACAAAGCATGCCTTTTTCTGTGGAAACATGAACTACAGTAACATGACGGCTTTTCTTTTGGAGTATTACCTAAATTATAGAATACCTGTCAATTTTTAAACTTTATACCAAAGTGTGTTTAGTTAATCGAACTACGAATCAAATTCTATAATCCTTACTTTGGCTGAATTAAGGTCGGCAAAAATTTGCTGACCTGGGAGGTTGATAGGTTGCCAGTCGGCATTGCCGAATGCAGACCTCGTTTTTGAGAGCTGATTTTCTGAAACAGATTCTTGGGTATACAGCATTTATTATTATACTGTAGATACACTGAATCGTCAGTTAAAGTACTTGCATGGTATGTTTATGTAAATACCACATGCAACTCTGTCACTGACTTGTTTAGCCTAGCCTTCCAACAACTCAAATCTATAGGGTCTGGAGTAGGGGCTATCCATTGGGAAATTTTTAAAATCTAAGGTATTTACAACACAATGTTTAGCATTTAAAAAAAAACACATTGATTTAGAATCATTTGAAGATAAGAGATAGGACAATAAGATTCACAAAGCAAATTTCAGACCGGTCAGACCAGAATCTCTCGATCTCTCTGTATTAATGGAAGGTCTGGTTCAGGCTTTGCAAAAATGGATCTCCTTCAAAATTTATCCAAATTTTCGGATTAGATTGGCCCCAAGTCCAGATGTATTGTGTTCCATTCAACAATGTGACCATTCTGACCGGTCTCGCTGTGTTAATGGAAAGCGCCCTAGAATATCAAACCTCCCTTCCTTTGATTTGGGGGAGGGAGACCCCCAATTGTATAGTTAAAAAAAGCCCTGACACAGGTTAGTTTATTTTGAGTAAATATCAAGATTTTGGACATCTCACTTGATAGAACTAATTGTAGTTCTAAGGGTTTTGTAGATGTGAATTTCGAGTGTAAATTTTATACATTTATTAGACTTTACCCAGAAGCAGTTGCGAGAAATGCAACTATATGCCCTCAGGCAGGAATCAAACCCGCAGTCCTGCGATTTATTTTGATAATGGCTAACAGATGCATGGAAAAACTGGTGGAATTTGGAAATACGGAGGATTAAATTTATCCATAAAAGAGTCATTGTTAGTTAAAAATTTTGTGCATGAGGATTGAAGATTTAAAAACCCTATACTTAGGTGGTTTTTACTTGATATCACATCTGCCATGTTTGATGAACTTGACAAAGAAGTTGACTTGTTTGCAATGCCAATTAATTTATCCAACATGGCAAAAATTATCCTTGTGTTTTATTCCCATTGCAAACCAGTGTCCTATTGCCTACTCTTCATGTTCTTCTTTGACATTAATCAGGTATAAATTACAAGCCTCATTGATTATGCTTTCTGCCTTCTCTTTCCCATCTAATGTTATTATTACCCCCATATTTCAAACTCAATTTGCCAACATTGTTTAGGGGATATTATTAAATAATAGTTAATACATAGGAAACATACTCTTTCACTGCTGACCTTGTTCAGTACGTAATGAATGTTTTTTCCAGTTGAAAAGTTGATGAAAAGAATCCCAGACATTTTTAGCTTAAGTTTGTTACAGTGAATGTAATGCACTAATCCCAGATCATAATTAAATATTTTGCTGCTTTTTAATACCAGCAAAGGATCTATGAAATTAAACCTGGTTGCAGCATATTTACTTATAAATTTTAAGTTGTTACTAACTTCTGAATTATTTTTTGAATTTGATATAATAGTGGTCAGGAAAGTGCTGGCATTGTGACTGGTGATGGTACTTCAATTTACCAACACAAGGGTATGGGTCTAGTCTCGAATATCTTTAAAGAAGAAGACATCAAATCACTTCAAGGCTACATGGGTATTGGACACAATCGTTACTCAACGATGGGCGCGTCCAAACTGGTCAATTGTCAACCATTCGTTGTAGATACTGCACAAAATTGGATTGCAGTCGCACACAACGGAGAGCTGGTTAACGCCAAGTCACTGCGCAAGAAGGTCCTTGCAAGTAATGTTGGCTTGTCCACTAAATCTGATAGCGAATTGATAACTCAGCTTCTGTCAATAAGTCCACCATGTGGGGAGCCTGAAGGTGGGTAACGTTCCGAAATAACATCACAATAAGCCAATTCATACTGTCGACTCCACATGCTCATCCAAATGACGCATTCTGAGTCGGGTTAAAATTGCAGTTGAATCGTAACAGTAATTTACTGATATAGGCACAATAAAACTATCGTTGAAAAATATTTTGAACTAGCATATAAAATAAGGAAAGGTACACTTTCGTGTGGAAGCTTCTGCTACATTATGGCATGCTACATTTCGAGCAATTTTTGGCATATTGAGTTGTGATTACTATCAATGCCATTACAACGTTGGTTAGAATTAGGGTTAGGTTGAAAGTCAAGAAAAGGGTTGGGGTAGGGAAAAGCCTATAAAAGGAGAGCTATTACAGGGATAGTTAAGATTTCGGAAAGTTAGTTAATTTCGAGCCACGCCCACTTTTGCTAGCGACCACAGCCAATTTCTTAACTCTCCTGATGGGTGTGGGTCCTGATGTTTTCTTTCGACTGACATGAGAGAGTTAAATTTGACGCAACTCTCTTCCGTCAAACGTAAGAAACTTATGAGAGAGTCGACATATTTGTAATTCCCCTTATGGTTGTGAAGTGAGGCGAGAGTTACGTGGGGTTTGAAATTAACGATTATAAGTGGCAAGACGGTTGTACTGGAAGAGAAAGAGATTCAAAAGTCTTGCGGCTAGCCAGCTATCTTTTACTGAAGTAATCAACAACGGAAATTCTACAATCGATATCGCTAGGCTAAATTTTCCCACAAAATATGAGCGACGTCAACTTTCAATGAAAATCCGCCTCACTTCACAACCATAACAACAGAGTGTTACAAACTCTCAAAATTTTTCACGTTTTGGCTAAGAGAATTAAGAAATTTAAACTAAGAAGATGACGGGAGAGTTAAGAAATTGGATGTGGTATTGGAAAAAGAGGCGTGGCTCAAACTTAACTCTCCGAAATCTTAGCTCTCCGCCTTAACTCTCCCAATAATAACTAACGTTTAGGGTTAGAAATGGTTAGGATTGTTGGGTTATGTATACGTTCAGTATTGGAATTATATTGAGGGTAAGTATTTTGGTAAGGATTGGGATTGTAAGGATTGCTAATAGGAAAAGAGGATACAGTAAGAATTAGAGTTAAGATTAGGTTTGTATCGGGCTTAGGAATAAATTAAGAATAGTAAGAAATCGCTGTATTTAAATTGTGGTAACTATATTAATACATATATCGTAATTGACCTCTCAAGGTGCAAACTGGCCATCAAGGATAAAGCGGTTAATGAATGAAACCCAGTGTGCGTACGCTTTGGTAATCCTGACAAAGGACGGTATCTTTGGAGTGCGTGATCCTTACGGGAACAGACCTCTGTGTGTTGGAAAAATCTTAAGGTCATCAGACAACGGGAAAGAATGTGCTGGATGGTTGCTTTCGTCTGAATCGTGTTCTTTCCCGTCGATTGGGGCTGAGAAATTGTACGATGTTGAACCAGGAGAAATTGTTCAACTTACTAGGAAAGGTGTTTCCCGTCTTGAGATTGTTCAACCTTTACGTTTATCTGACCCAACTGCATTCTGTATATTCGAATATGTTTATTTCGCACGAGCTGACACTGTGTTTGAAGGTCAAATGGTCTATAACGTACGGCAAGAGTGTGGACGTCAGTTAGCAGATGAAGCCCCTGTAGAAGCAGAGATTGTCAGCACTGTGCCAGACTCTGCAACTCCAGCCGCTATAGGATATGCTGAAAGATCTGGAATCCCGTATGTTGAAGTGCTCACAAGAAACCGTTATGTGGGCAGGACGTTCATCCAACCAAGTACACGTTTAAGAAAGTTAGGTGTTGCCAGGAAGTTTGGTCCACTTACTGCAAACTTTCTTAATAAGCGAATCATATTAATTGACGACTCCATCGTACGTGGTAATACTATGGCTCCTATTATAAAGGTCTTACGCGAAGCTGGTGCTGCGGAGGTAAGATTTAATTCTATAATGCGGATTCTAAACTCATTTACATGTGCAAGTCTGTCACCTGTAAAACATCTGGCGAAAATGGACTATCCATTACATATTTCACTTTGACAACTGTGAAATTGGTACATGAGGTTCCGGGGTAGTCAAAATAGGGCTAGTGAAGGTCTTAAAACATATTAAAGAGAACCTTTATAGGAAGGCCTCCTTTTTAACTTTTTTATTCAGATATTGTCAGGTCCCTGAGGAATGTCCCTTTACCCCGGTAGTGGATCTAAAAAGAGGTGCCGAAGTGGAAGCGAGATTTCGGCAGATTCGTATTGTGTCCTAAAAATACTAAGGACTAAGATAGCCAGAAGGGGCATAAATTGACCATTTGCGTAAAAGACTAAATTTTGATTTAAACAAGTTTAGACAAAAATTTCATCACAGCTTGAAAGAGCATCACAAAATTAGTAATATTCCAAAGTTTTGTTAAGAAATGTTGTAAAATTCAGAAAATATAGCCTCGTGAAATTTTCAATTTTCAGTCATTATAGATTACAAACGGGAAATTGACAGCCTCAAAGGGTTTGGGGCATCAATTTCCCGTTCGTAATCTAAAATGGCTGAAAATTGAAAATTTCGAAAGGCTATATTTTCTGCATTTTACAACATTTTGCAACGGAACTTTGGAATATTACTCAAGCTGTGATGAAATTTTTGTTGAGATCAAAATTTAGTCTATTACGCAAGTGGTCAATTGAACAAGGCTGGCCAGCCAGATCACCATGCACCATGACACTCAAAACTACAGGTTGTGTATTTTTCTGTCGTAGCAAGATTGAACGTTTCAGCTAGTAGGCGTCTTATCAAGTTCATTATTTTCTCAGGTTCATATTCGTGTAGCGTCGCCGCCTCTGAAGCATCCATGTTACATGGGCATCAATATCCCTACGAAAGAAGAACTTATTGCAAATGTCATGTCGCCTGATGAACTCGCTAAATATTTGGGCGCTGACAGTCTTGTCTATTTATCTGTTGACGGTCTGCAGTCGGCAGTACGTAAAGGCATTCAAATGACCACCAGCAAACCTCCAGGACATTGTACGGCATGTTTGACGGGGAAATACCCTGTGGAGTTGGAGTGGTAACGAAATAGGACGAGGAGAATAATAACGTTAAAATGTACTCTTTATTTGTTATAATTTATATATTGTAGGATATTTTTGTGTGTAGTTAGAGACAAACCGTTTGACTTTTGAGGAGGCGCGGGGCGATTGTAGCCGGAAAAGATATGCTTGAACCGGACTCTATGGCAAACTATCTGAGACGTAAACGATATCGAAAATACCGTGCACATGCTTTTCTTTGGAAGTTCTATTGTTTATCACATCATGGCAAACTATCTGAGACGTAAACAATATCGAAAATACCGTGCACATGCTTTTCTTTGGGAGTTCTATTGTTTATCACATCATGGCGAACTATCTGAGACGTAAACGATATCGAAAATACCATGCACATGCTTTTCTTTGGGAGTTCTATTGTTTATCACATCATGGCGAACTATCTGAGACGTAAACGATATCGAAAATACCGTGCACATGCTTTTCTTTGAGAGTTCTATTGTTTATCACATCATGGCGAACTATCTGAGACGTAAACGATATCGAAAATACCATGCACATGCTTTTATCTGGGAGTCCTGTTGTTTATCACATGCATTTAAAAAAGATCGTGCCTGTGCCAAAACGTCGTTTCCCTTCTCGAAAGTCAAATGTTGACTCTTCATGAATGTAGTATATGCATGCAGGTAGATTTAGAGCTGATGGTGATAGCTTTTATTGACTTATATTTTAGTTTCAAACAGCATCAATTATGTCTGACCTACTTTATTAGTGTCTTCAGCCTGCAAGGATTAAATATGCTGAACTAAAATACTTACGTATAAAACAAAAACAGAAAAATGAATTAATGATTACTCATCATGAAAACCCAAATATATGGATTAAAACAAGACGTGATAAATCGGTTGGTGTCAGGCTAGAGGCCGGCAGAGGCCAAACAGAGGAAATACGGTATCTTTCGGTATCTCAATATATAGAGAGGTTCAGATTTGACTCCACTACCTCTATCTCTACCATTAAGAGATCATTAACCAATCAGATGCGTTTGATATATCCGATTAACCAACGTATACTAAGCCAGTGAGAGGTAGCGGAAGTCAAATCTGAACCTATCTATATTTATCACAATATGTACTGATGGAAAATTATTGGAGGACAGGCCTATATAGCCCCCTAATCCTTGTCCCTGTGGTCTAATGTCTATTACAGGATCACCATGTGTTGAACTGACGATGATTCTGTAGTGTGATCAAAATATAACCATTTATAAAACTATTCACGTTTTCACAAGATGTTTTCGGTTTCTGTTTTATACTTTATTTATTTTCGGCTGACCTAAGTTTTATTTATTGAGTTCTGTGGCGATGTATGTTGCTAAATAAAACCGTGGTAGAACTTATTTGTTGATTGCAGGGGCCTGTTCAGTTGTATAAACTAATTCTCATTACTATTTTGTAGTTAAATTAAATAGTGATTAACTCTCAAATACGCGCGTTTTATTGGATTCCGTTTCCACTAACTATAATTGCACTTTTTTATATAACCGGCCCCAGCCATTATAGTGGCTTGCACACGTAGAATGCGGAGATACACTCAGATCGTGATAAAGTATAGCTATCGGATTCAAACTTATATAAACTATCACCTTGCCCACGATATCTATAAATAATGCAGGATCTTTTTTAACTACTTAAGGGGGGGGGGGGGGAATTCCCCCCAGAGCCAGACTCCAAGGTGGTCCCCCACTCAACCATTTGGTCCCAATCCCCCAGGTAAAGTCAATATATAGAATATAATTAGCAGAACATTGGATGAGAAATAAAATTTAGAAGGGAGGTTTTGATATTTTAGGAACTGAAATTTACTTTCAGTGTGAACTTATGTTTTTTATCTTCAAATGATTCAATATTTAAAAAAAATGCTAAACATTGTTTTGTAAATAGCTACCTTAGATTTTAAAAAATTCCCAGTGGATAGCATATCCCAGACCCTATAGATTTTGGATCAGGCTCATAGGCGTATGGGAGGGAAAAAATCAGGGGGAGCAGAAAGAAATTTGCCCGCCTTTTCCCCATTGTGCCCGACTTACTGAAAAAAAATTTTCCGTGCAAACTTTCCAAAATTGTCGTCGACCGGGGGGGGGGGTATTTCTGGTATTTTCAAACACTATATTGCATGTCTTCTCAGTTAAAGTTATTTCCTCCAATTTTTGCCCGAATTACGCATATTCGTCCGTCCCCAGGCCGAGCTTGGGCCTGGGGACGAGGATGCGAATTACGTTTATTATTATTATTCATTGTACTGTGTTCTCGGTTTTTCATTGGCTAAGAGCCTACAAATAATTTTGGGTATTTGTAGATGCCTGCGCTATTTCCAGCGGAAACAGTAATCTGCAGAAGTTATTGGACGGCGCCCGAGATATTTCAGCGGTATTTTATGTGAAAATACAAATTGGCGGGAAATTTTTAGTTGAATTTACGAAAAGTTAATCAATTCAATGAATATTTATTTGTTTTCAGTTGTTGCTTGTTTTGTTTTCTTTCTGTCACAAAATTAATAATAAAACAATTATTGAATTCGGCTTGCGCAGGATACCAGAATTATTCAGACCTCGGTCAATGTTATCTGCCTCAGCCTTCGGTTTCGGTAGATAACATTGACCTCGGTCTAAATCATTCTGGATATCCTGCTCAGCCTCATCCAATAATTGTTAATTACCACAGAAAAGGTTGTATAAACCGCTTGCCTCTAAATGAGTGATGGAGTAATTATAAGGCATGTCAACTATATATTTTATTATTAAAGTGCTGACTCTTCCACAATCCGTTATCCGTACGCGCGGTCACGTCCTATCGCATTCCCATTAAGCCCCGCGCTCCCATTGTTTTTCACTGATCTCTATTCCCAACTGAAGCGACGAGGGACGAGGCAGGTTAAAGTGTAGTTATTTGACTAATTTAAGAATGTTTTTAGAATATAGTTTTGGTTGAGACTAAAATTTGTTTATAGAAGTCGTTAAAAACCCGCAACTCTTGATCATTCACTCTGAGATTGAGCCGCCTGTGCTCTATTTTGGAGTTTTTGAATTTTAAGTCGTTTTGATTGTTTCACCGAACACATCCCATACTTCACAGCAGTAATCGATGGGCGCTTTCCATCAACACGGCCTGCAAGACCGGTCAGAACGGTCAAATTGTTGAATGAAGCACAAAACATTTGGGCTTCGGACCTATCTGAGCGGAAATTTTAGATAACATTAGAATGAGGTCCATTTTCGCTGCATATTTGAGAAACATAGACCAGGGGCTGGTTGTATAAAACTCTTAATCACTTTTTTAATCACTATTTCGTAGTTAAAAAGTGATTAACTCTCAAATAGGCGCTTCTTATTGGACAACGTGCCCGCTTATTCATAGTTAACTTTAATCACCTTTTTATACAACCGGCCCCTGATCTTTCCATTGATACAGAGAAAAGAATTCGGGTCTGACCGGTCAGGCCATTAAATGGAAAGCGCCTGATGTATGGGTGAACTATTTCATTATAAACGGATTGAATTCGAAGTGTTTGCCTATCAGCAGCTACGAGCAGAAATTCCTGATGTTATTTTCCTGCAAATATTTTCAGTGTTACTTCCACCATAAATGCTGGTCGACTGTCACTCCAAGAGTTTTGCACTCATGCAACTATTTAATCTGTTTGTTTTCAATTACCACATTTGGCTGCAAATTTGAAATACTTTTAATCATTTGTTTTGAGTCAATTAACATAAATTCAGTTTTCGCGGCTAAATTGAGGCTAAAGCCCGTTCACACTACGGCAATATTTGGTACGGCACGGATAAAATTGGTACCCATACCACTTTTTTGGTTCTTGGACTACCTATTTAGGTTGGACTACCTATTTAGGTAGTCCAGGAACCAAAAAAGTGGTACGGTACCAAAAAGCGAGCGTTCTGTAAACGGGGCTTTAACTTTATAATAATTGGCAATTAGCCATTGTCTAAATCAGAATTCACTGCAGCTTCAAGACGAGTTATTGAGTCGCCAGATGCTGTTAGGTTTGTGTCGTCAGCACTAGCAAATAACTGATTAGGACAACCAGGTTAAACATTTTTCTGTCTAAATTCACATACCAGTCATTTGTGCAGTTTAACAATGCTGTAGCCGTAGAATGAAATTTTCGAAAACCAAATTGACTATTAGTATCACTACTCACTAGCTTAAAAGTCTAAATTTGTATAACTACAGTTGATCATACAGAATTTTTTCCATAATTTTGCCATGACTGGCAGGACAGAAATTGGTCTGTAATTTCCCGCCACATTACGTTCGTCTAGCCGTTTTCAATTCATCAGGAAATGAGGACAGAGTTATGGCCTGATTAAAAATATGTGTTAGACTTGGTAAATCTGAAATAGCAGGTGAAGCAATCTTATAATAATTTTACAAGAAATCTTGTCGACACCTGGGGTTAGGTTAAAACGCGGAAGCGGATGCGGAACGGAACGGAACGGATATGGGGTTAAAATGCGGAACGGAACGGATATGCGGAACGGAACGGAACGGATATGGGGTTAAAATGCGGAACGTAACGGATATGCGGAACGGAACGGATATGGGGTTAAAATGCGGAACGGAACGGATATGGGGTTAAAATGCGGAACGGAACGGTATGGGGTTAAAATCCATCTGGTGGACGGGAAATCTGATTGGTTGATCAGCATCATGAAAGATTTTGATTGGTTGCAAGTTCATATAAACAATGGTTTTAAAAATAGCTCTGTCAAAGCGACAATTAAGCCGGTTAAAGACGAGCAAGTTTAATTTCTTTAAGAATCTTTAAAACCCGGAATGAGAAAAGCCGGAATCTTTAAAACCCGGAATTATTACTGTAAATACTAATTACTGTAATAATTTATTAATTTAATAAAGCCAAGTTTTGGCGGCATTCCTAAACTCCTTTGCGCGTCGTGTCAGATCCTCGAACAAACAAGTAAGCAGTAAAGTAAAGAACCTCAAAAAATTTTGTGCAAGGCTGATATTCTATTATTCTGGAGGAAACACAGTGGGTTAGTTTTTATAGCGAATACTATTATCAATACTGTTGAATTGAAGCTCGATTTTTTATATATGTCTGGCAGTATACCACATCATTTTCAAAATACTAGGCCGTTTCAATTTTAATAAGCTTTCCACCTGCGTCTGTCACTATAAAATGTTTTTAACTACATATTATGAAAGCTTCAAATGCGTGTGCTTACATGCGCAGCAAGGCGAGACTTTTGAACTTTTGAAAATAGTTTTTGAATTTCCGTGGCATGACAAAAGTTTGTTGCGAACGTTTTCTCAGCGAATTTTCTACTAACCTGCCAATATAAATTCCACTAAAATGTAGGCATTTTCACAAGCTTTCAAAACATCCACGTTAGGGGTGTATGTCGTTAAATTTCGAATTAATATAAGCGATTGAAACTCGTGCCTAAAATCAGACATAATATATATTCCGATTTTCGACCAGAATGTATATTCCGACGGCAATTTTTACACCCTCGTTTAGGCAACGAATTGTCGCTCAATAATCTAGCTATACCATGTCAATGTTATAGCTTGAACCAAAATGTAGCTGATTTCACCAGTTATCTGACAATATGCGTAAAATTATTGTACCTGTAATATTCGCACAGATATAGACGAATAAAAGTCATGTTTATGTTGCATTAAACTTTCTAATTATAATTCTGGTTTCAAATTTTGTTTACATTGTGTGATTTTGACCCCGTCGTTTAGACAACGTTTTCTCGCTCACTATTGTAGCTACAGAAATACAGCTCCCGCTAAATTGTAGGCATTTTCAGAGGCATTCAAACCATATGCGTTAGCGGTGAATGTCGTTAATAGTTGGAACATATTATGTCTGCTTCTAGGCACGAGTTTCAACCGCTTATATTAATAGTATATATATATATTAATTATATTAATATCATAATTAGAAAGTTTAATGCAACATAAACATGACTTTTATTCGTCTATATCTGTGCGAATATTACAGGTACAATAATTTTACGCATATTGTCAGATAGCTGGTGAAATCAGCTACATTTTGGTACAAGCTATAATAACATTGTATAGCTAGAATATTGAGCGATAATTCGTTGCCTAAACGAGGGTGTAAAAATTGCCGTCGGAATATACATTCTAGTCGGAAATCGGAATATATATTATGTCTGGTTTTAGGCACGAGTTTCAATTTAATATAAGCGATTGAAACTCGTGCCTAAAACCAGACATAATATATATTCCGATTTCCGACTAGAATGTATATTCCGACGGCAATTTTTACACCCTCGTTTAGGCAACGAATTATCGCTCAATATTCTAGCTATACAATGTTA